AGATAGGAGTCGTTATTCAGATAGGAGTCGTTATTCAGATAGGAGTCGTTATTCAGATAGGAGTCGTTATTCAGATAGGAGTCGTTATTCAGATAGGAGTCGTTATTCAGATAGGAGTCGTTATTCAGATAGGAGTCGTTATTCAGATAGGAGTCGTTATTCAGATAGGAGTCGTTATTCAGAAGTTAAAAGTACACAGTTAGATGGGACTTTGCTCTGGGTAATACGGGTAATTCTGCTCTGGGTATGGTTATTCTGCTCTGGGTATGGTAATTCTGCTCTGGGTAATACGGGTAATTCTGCTCTGGGTATGGTTATTCTGTCGTTATTCGCGAATTGTCGTTATATCCGCAGTTGTTATTAGCGAAGTTGACTGTAGCTGGCACACACATCATTGCACGCGGACAGGCGCGCGCGCGCACACACGCACACACCTGTCCTGTCCTGTCGACACACACACACACACACACACACACACATACACACCAGTGCACGCCCGTGCACACATACACACACACGAGCGCGGGCACACAAACACCAGTGCACTTGCATACGCACAAATACACCACTGCACGCGTGCACCACACACACACACACACACACACACACACACACACACACACACACACACACACACACACACACACACACACACGCATAAATTACAATAAGTCCCAGCATACATTCTGAGGAAACCGGCAGGCTACATTTATAGAAAGCCATCTCCCATTTGTAACTCGAAATTATTATATCTAAGAAATTAAATCTCTTACCTGGCGAGCTATGTTGAGAAATGTCACTGACAAAAGACAGGCGCAAGTTTCATCTTCGCAACCTTGTGACATTGACCAGTGACCCTCCAATCCTCCTTCTGGATTCTAGACGGTGCTGTTGGCGGCTGCATTTCACCTTCCCTTTGCCACCACCGCGACTCCTTGTGTCACAACCACTCGCTCACCGCGCAAACTGTTCATGTCTTGTGCAGCGACGTTCGGAACTGGTCGCCGGGAAGAATGATGCACAAACCTTTCTTCCATCAGCTTGGCAGCTTCCCCATGTTTCTGCTAAACGTTCTGGTCGGTGTTCACAAACAAGACAGCTATCACGATTCAGTAGACATCAGCTATTCACAGTGATCACCGCAGCGTACCGGAAGGTCCAGTAAGGAGATATGTCGCTTGGTATCGATCTCCCTTACGACCTTAGAATAGTTAGATCGTTATAGGGTCGTTGATTTAGGCCCAGAATCGTTAACTCTCCAATAGCGATACCTACTGTGCTACAACGAGAGAACTTGGAAGCTCAGGGCTCTATGCTATGCTTTTTTGCCTAGCTCATCATGCATGTTATTGTATTGCAAAAAGTTTCCATCTGTTCGAATAAAATGCATGATGAGCTAGGCAAAAAAGCATAGCGTAGGGCCCTGAGCGAAAGAAATAAACTTTCTCTTTGCATTCGAGGGTAATACGACACCGTCTGCCACCTTGATGACCTAGGCCAAAAAAGCATAGGGATGTTATAAATTTTTAGTTTCTTCTACTTCCTCCGCTTCATCAAAATTGTCGCAGTTTGACTAGTGACTTGTCACTTGTTACTGACAACTCCATAAGCTAAACCATTCAAAACTTATTACACAGTATGATAGTCTAAAGACTAGAGTAACGTTCCAGGACAGTTGGACTGAGAGTTTTCATGCAGAGATGAAGTCCTCGTCGTCGCTGATGTCAATGGACGCAAAAATATCGTTCCGAAATATTTCAAGGAAGGTTGAAAGTTGGTCGCGCCTAATCTCAAACGCTTTGACTTTCTCCACAGGACAAGAGCTGCTATGCTTGTCGTCTGCTAGCTCTGGATGATTTCTACTTCACCACCAACGAAGTCTAGTAAGAATACACAATCGTTGCGAGGTCGGTTGATTACCGTCGGCGGAATCACCTCGATCTTGAAATGAACTTTTATTAGCCGTGGCATGCCCATTTATTTTAGTTGTGTGGTCACAGCTCATGCAGGTAAGTGTACTATCGCGTCCAGCGCGCCCTCTTTTTCAGCATCACTGGTACGGCACCTGCGCGTGCATCACTAGCACTACGTGTAGAGTCTACACGGCTCTTGCAGGAACAATCATTGTACTGAGTGTCTCAGCCAGAGCGACAATTTTTATCGCTGTTGCATGCATTTAGTTTGACCCCTCGATGTTTCTCCAAGCACTGCTACTTGTTCCACGAAGTCATTCTCCCCCCAGCTAAGGTAAAACAGTGATGAGGCTTGAGTGAATGGCCATAAGCACGAGAAATGTGCAGGCTGCAACGCCTGACTGATCTCAGCAAGTCGAAATTACCATCGCAGCAACATCAGCGAAGAAATTGCGTCTAGTTCAAAAATGTCAGCTTCCAATAACAAAAAAATAGAACTTTGCCGTCACCCTACACTGATGACTATCGCCTATGTCCGATTCCTTGCCTCTGGTACGAGTGCTGGTGAGTAAACACCCCATTATATATCAAAAGTCAAACTGCGACAAGTTCGATGACGTGGAGGAAGTATCGCTGTATTTTTTCAGGACATAACCTAGGATTCGAACCCGCACTATCGCCCTGCATGCATTCCCCGATACACTTCGCATACATACTCATTCTTCCAAGTTGTTTCATGTTATGATCTTGCATTTGAAAGCCCTATTTGAATATTGTGGCTAGCTGTCTTTGATAGCGGTACGGGACAGGTACGGGATAGCACCAGGCATGCCGACGGCCCAAAAACAAGGCATGGAATTAAAGCTGTGTGGACCCTGGCAGCGCCAGACGTTACTGAAGTAACGTCTTTTGCATAGCTACGGGAATAACGTCGAATCAATGGCAGGCGCGTAGCGCCGTATCTCAATTTCGCAAACAAAGTAGCTACAGTTTGCCGTACCATGTCCGCGAAAAACCCAAAACAGGCTGAGAGTCCCGTCGTGAGCACAAGAGTGCATTACTGCATTGTACTCAAACGCGCATGTGGAGCAGCGCAGTGTGAAACAGGGAGCCGGAGTAGCATGTACAATTACATACTGGTGGTTTACTGCTCCCTGGTGTGAAGTGACTACACTGTGCGATTGATGTTCCAACTTGCTGCTTCCTGCCATTCGAGGAAAAGAAGCATGTTTGTTTGCAAGTCAAGATGTCGAAGCCTTCAGCAAAATGTTTGTAAGAAGCAGCTGATAGTACATGTTGTTCAAGATCAAAGGAAAATGATGTATAGACTGCTGAATCAGACTCGCTGAATTCTCTCTTGTGCAGTTCACCGCAAAAATTCCAATTAAGATGAGCTGGCTGAGCCAGTATCCTTGACTGGAAAAATGAAAAATAGGGTGAATTGTGTACACTATGGCGCGTCGCATGACCCTTCTTAAGCACCCTGAATAGGACTACGTTACGTCCCTGAGTGGTATATAGTGCTTTTGCGTCAAGGAAGGTAAATTAGGTTCGTGATTTGTTAAAAAAGAGGGGGGGGGGGGTGGAAGGCGATTTCACTTTCTGGCACTTGCCTCAGAGACTAAACTGGGACGTTGTTGGCGTTGCCGAGACCTGGCTGGATAACACAATCTCGGATGGGAAAATTTGTATTCCCGGCTACAGTGTTGTTCGCTGTGACCGGTCAGATCGCCAGGGTGGGGGCACATGCCTCTACTACAGGACATCACTCCCAGTTACCTATCGTTCGGATCTGCATCATAGTCACCTGGAGGCTACCTGGACAGCTATTGGTGGAAGGCACACCAGCACCTCGTCCGGTTGGGCTGCCTCTATCGCCCGCCGAATGCAACTGCTGATTTCTGGGGCCACCTGGACACAGTCCTCCGCAATACTGCTACAATCACACCATCAATGACACTGGTGGGTGACTTTAACATCGATCTTGCTCAATGCATGGCTATTCTCCCTCACCAGCGCTTCTGGGACCTGATCGGATCATACGGGCTCCGCAACTACGTCCAGTCTGCCACACGAGCCACACCCCGATGTCCCGATGGAATACTGCTGGATTTAGTGATCTCCACTATGGGTACTATAAGTCATTGTAAAGTTGTACCCGGCACGATCAGTGATCACTTCCTTGTGCCTGCAAGCCTGTCTCTACCCTCCTCGCAACACCCGCGCAGTGGAAATCGGTGCGCCTGCTGCAACTGTAGACAAGATGTGGAATAGCTGGCATGCCAAGTTTATGTCGGTTCTCGAAAGTCACGCTCCCCTGCATGAAGTCAGAATATCCATGCGGAGGACTCCCCGCCATGGTCCAACCGTGATCTATTCCAACTGAACATGCGCAAGAATAGACTTCACCGAAAGTGGCTACGAGATAAAACCAAGGTGCATCGACATGAGAAGTACAAGAGAGCCCGTGCAGAAGCCTCAAATGCTTACCGGCGAAAACACAATCAGTACTTCCAACAGCAGGGTCGTGATCACTCCTCCAACCCACGGATGAAGTGGTCCATGATCAACTCTGTCACTGGCTGTTCTCGTCAACACTAATAGCCAATGTGCGACATCACAGAAGTCTCGGACATCTTCCACAGCATTGTACGTGATCCGTCCCGTCTGGCACAGCTCCAAACTCAATGCTGACCTCCCAGTCAGCCACCTCAGGTGAGGTCAAGAACCTCCTGGAACGGATAAATCCCTGCAAAGCCAGAGGCAGTGATGGGATCCCTAGGTGTCTGCTACGCGCTTGTGTTAATCTGTTGGCTCCATTAATTTCAGTGCTCTTCAGCTCATCGTGGAGGCATGGTGTGGTCCCTCTGGCTTTCAAGCATGTAGTAGGCGCTCTCATGGCCAGCAATCGAGGACATCTGGGAGTTGTAATTTTGTACTCCTCCGGTGTGATTTTTGGCGTGCTGGGCCAAGCACAAGGAAGCCACCTGTCAAATATATGAAGAAAACGGTTGTTGTTTGATCCTTTGGTGTAATCTTTGTAGCTAGTCGAAGCAAGTTGCTGTTTGGAGCAGAAACGCTGAAATTGACTATTTTCTGCATGTACTCATGCATGTACTCATGTACTCAGGCATGCAGTCTCACTCGTATTTTAGCTCTTTTTCTGGAATGGATGCTGCTCTGCGCCCCTTGGTGAACATTTCCTGCGCTCGTGGAGCAGCTGAAAAGGACCACTGGTATGTCTGGTTCCTGGTTTGAAAGTGGAGAGTCGACTTTTGTGTCTTGAAAAAGGAGTAGAGAGTGATAAAGGTACGTCTGTAGCTTATTTTTAGTGCTCCTCGTACATTTTTGATCGTGATAGAAATTCTCAGACCAAAGTCGTTGGATGATGGCCGATCAGTTTTCTTGTGGATATTTTAGTTGTTTCGTCTCGTATCTATGTCAGTATCGTGATGGTCACCGAGGGTGATTTTCTTCCTCTGGGCTTCGTTCGGCCGACTTTGCTTCGTCCTCGTTGAAAAGTGATGCTGAAAAAAGGTCGATTCGCAAAATTATGTTAATTTTGAATGTACGTGATGACATGCGATTGCTGGCTATGCTTTAAAGCTGGCGATCCATCAGTGGCTGCAAACTATCGTCCTGTGTTACTACTACTGTGTCGCTACTCGTCAGGCGAAATTACTGGTCAGTCGGCGACACGCATTTTTCACAAAAATTTGCGTTTCACCTGCTGGGAGAGTATGCGTGTACTCGAGTCTCATCCTGAGCACGTTTTTTTCTTCTTTTTTTCAGCTCCAGTATAGCTGTATTTTTCATTGCAAAGCCGTCCTCGATTGTTGTGTTCGTTGTTCAAACGAAGTGGACATTCAATCATGAAGGCAGAGGACATAGGAGCCTGATTGGAGTTTCTCGTGGCATAGGACGGCCACACAGAGACACTTGGGGATTTTCTGAATAAAAAATACCGTACGCACGATGCTGAGATCAATTTGCGCGATATCAAATTGTTTGTGATCTACCACATCGAGCAGAACGGGATCCGAACACAAGATTACCGACGGTTAGGCTGCCGACCTGACTGGACAAATGGTCCCTGGCTTCACCAGACGCCAGAAGTCGGACACCATGTCCTTTGCCGCGACGTCCATCTCCAAAAAGAACTCCATCTTCGTCGTGAAAAGGCTTGAAATACTCAATATTCAACCGAGATTCGCGGTCTCACCCTTTCTCAGATCGAATCATTTTTTGTTGTAGCAGTTGCAGGGCAGATCCCCGCCACTACTTCAACAGAAGATGGCTCCAAAGCATGCCTGGAACAAGCCATATCGAGGTTGCAAGCCACCCCTCTCAGCACTTTTTTTGAAGAAATTCGAAATTTCAATGGTGGAAGATATACTATGAAGAGAATTTCAAAAAGTATGTTTCGCGGAGCGATCGCCCAACCTACGTCATTCAAACTTTGCAGGATGGTTCAGACGTACATGCTAGGCATGGAACCACAGAAGATGATATCATAGCTGACACACAGAGTCACACACACACCAGATTGGTGTGCACAGATACTAAATTAGTGGACGTCGTCATCTTCTTCCCACTGATCTCAAATGTACTATGACGTGCTATTTCGCCTGACGACTGATCGCGTCCAAACTACTTGAGAAGATAGCCAAGATGGACAACCACAAGGAAGCCTTCTGCCAAAAAGTGAAGAAAATGGTTGTTGTTTGATCCTTTGGTGTAATCTTGGTAGCTAGTTGAAGCTAGTTGCTGTTTGGAGCAGAAACACTGAAATTTTCTATTTTGTGCATGTACTCATGAATGTACTCACGTACTCAGGCATGCAGTCTCACTCGCATTTTAGCTCTTTTTCTGGAATGGATGCTTCTCTGCGCCCCTTGGTGAACATTACCTGCGCTCGTGGAGCAGCTGAAAAGGACCACTGGTATGTCTGGTTCCTGGTTTGAAAGTGGAGAGTCGACTTTTGTGTCTTGAAAAAGGAGTAGAGAGAAATTTTGATGTATGACATGGGGGGGGGGGGGGGTAGGTTGCCATTTGAAAGTATGGAGAACGAACGCGGTCAAAAGTATGCTTTTCAGCGCAAACAATTTTCGCTATCTCGATCGTGTCCTCGCTCAGTTTTGCTGCTTGTAGTGAAGATGTAGCTTGTTCCAGGTAATGTCGACGTCTTTTAGATGTGGTGGACGCTTGGAGAGATCAGCTGTGGCGATATCATCGCGGAATGCGACCCGAAATTGTATGGCTGATCCTATCGCAGTACTCGCCCTCCAAACAGGAGCGAGAGGGAGGGCAGTGATGGCCTAAAATAGTCAAGGCAGGCGTAATTCACCAGCTAGCGACTGCTTCTTGTCTTCTCTTTCACTTACCGTACGCTGGATGTGAGTAGATGAAGAAAAATATTGATTTTGAATCTGACACAATAATTCGAAATTTGCAATTTTGAAGCAATTGTTTTGCCTCAAATATGTGACAATTTGACCATATCCCTGGCATGTTGTTGCTCTTCATGCACTGAGACAACGCTTGTGAGGCTGTTTTGTCCCTATGTTCCCAGTACATGGGCACAAACTAATTTTCATCCTATTTGCTTGTGAAACCCTGGTTGGTCAGGAATATGCACAATTGGCGCGTATCTTTGGTATTCCACCTATGGCCTTCATATACTACTACATGCTGTACCAATATCCATGCTTACCTGGGTGCGGTGAGACACATGGAGTGAGGAAACCACAACTTGCATATACAAAAGTTATCTAAATGTCATACCATGGTTGTTTCTTTGGTTGCGATAGCCCCTTACATACAGCCGATGGCTGGCACATAAAGGGTTAAGCTTGCCTCCATCCCCTACACCCTGCAATGAATGCTCTGTCCCTGTCCACACACACACCATCATGTATTTCTCTCTTCGTGCTTTTGCACCTACATGTATGAACTCTTTGTGTTCCCTCTGTTGACGCTGCAAAATTGCTTATCATGTCTCCCGTGCTATGTTACATAGCAATTTGTTCTTCGCTGCTACCCCCAACCAAACGTTGATGCGCCCACCACGCAAAACTAATCCATCTCCCCCGATGCCCTTAACCTCACTACTTCCCTCGCTTTATCTCTGTATGTCTCTCTCTCTCTCTCTCTCTCTCTCTCTCTCTCCCGCTTTGAAATTCGCTTCTATAGAACTGGGCACCATTGCCCGTTTGGCCTTGCGAAGTAAAATAAAAATCAACACTAACAACAACTTCATAGTGAAGAAAAAAGGACCAAGAAACTACAAGTTACGATATAATGTCCACTAACACCACCAGTTACAAAACAATCAGCTCATGCGATAACATTGCACGACACTGACCGACGGTACTGACGTTCTACAACTAACTGGCTAACAGCTCTAGCACATCTTGGATGCGCACTCCAACAGCCTTCCAACTTGGAAGGTTCTAAGTTATAGAAATAACATGAGGAGGGGAAGGTGAGCGCAGCCAAGACAACTGAGCACGAGCTGAAAGTCACAGCTGTGAAGGACGTCGGCGGATGTTCATGCATGTTGATGACGATACTGGCACTATTATCGCACGAGCTGATTGTTTAGTAACTGGTGGTGTTAGTGGACATTATAGCGTAACTTGTAGTTTTTTGGTCCTTTTTTCTTTACTATAAATTTACTCTTGGCTCTCCATCCGAGTCCAACAATAACAATTTTTGGGATGTTTAGTGGTGTTAAAATTTGAAGGACACTATCACCATCTTTCAAGATTTGGGGGATACTTAAAGATCAGCCGCTAGGATTAGAAGTAGGGTTCGAAGAGCTATTATTACAACCTGCACGATTTGGGGGATATTTGGAGATCAGCTGGTCGATTTAGAAGTAGGCCCTTGAAAATTAGGATCAGGAGACCCAAATTAATTTCTCTGGGCTTACCTGATCCAAGACCATTCTGCCAATTTCCGTGTTTCTTGCTGCTGTTGAGGCAGGCCCCGCACAGCCATGCTACACTGGAATCTATTGGCCAAAATCAAAATGAAGAACAACAACTAGGATTTCTCTAGGCTTACCTGATGATCCAAGACCATTCTGCCAATTTCTGTGTTTCTTGCTGCTGTTGAGGCAGGCACTGGAATCTATTGGCCAAAATCAAAATGAAGAACAACAACTAGGCAATCACACATAATCACCGTGGCTGGAAGTAGCCCGAAAACACCACAAGTATTCTAAATTGATTGATGGCCCCTGAGAGATGGTACAACCTGGAGAGTAGACGGCTCCAGTTGCCCAAGCCATTCCCCTCAGCCAACACTGCAACAGCACAATCATACAATGTCATGTACAGTCATGTTGGCTGTCAGTCGCGTGCCCCGTATGGGTTCCTGGGTGCCCAGAACCCCCCTTTTTTCGCTCAAAATGCAGGATTTTGCTTCATTTTTCGAAACATTTTCCAGGGGGGACACCCCGGAACCCCCCCCCCCCCCCCCCTTGAAGGGCACTGGCGCACGCGCCTGGTTGTCCCTTACTGTACAACTAAATACTTACTAATAGTAATACCCCCATACAAGTCATGTACTCAGTACATGTATGATTGTATCCTCCATACTTCTCTAGCATACAACTAATACTTACAAGCAAGAAACTGCCGGTATGCTGGTTCACCTACACTGTACAGGGTACTACTACTAGTACTTCCAAAGCTACACTACAGTCAGTGGTGGAGCATGGTTGAAAACGGCTGTCGGAGTGGCAGCCCACTCAGCTCCAGTGCAGCAAGGCAAGGCCAAGGCCAGGCTGCAGGACGAGCAACTACGGACAGTACAGTGTAAGGATTCAAAGGAAAGCGAGTTCTTTCTCCAGAATAGCGAAATGCTAAAATGGGATTTGAATGCTGCCGTTGGCGGAGTCGCGCCTTGAATTACGCCGAAAGACATTAGTTAGTTTCCAAATTAGGTTTCGCCAAGCATTTGACAACCCAAGTCATACGGATATAGATAATGGGAAGATCATTACTCTAACTACTCTCACCTTCGCACAGCGGTTGTCATCAGAGGGTGAGGTAGCTAAATAGGGTTCTTGTATCCCTATCCAGTTCACCTTTTCGCCGTCTTGTCTCTTCATCGATCTACGTCGTTTCCTCCCAAATAGCAGAAAGAGTCGCAACCACGTACGTATGGCTCCGATTCAAGCAAATAAACTCGCAACTTCTTTTATAGGGTTAGGTCTGGTCCCCAGTGGCTAGAAAGATCCTGCAACGAAATGTCACAGTGCCTGGGCTTCGGCCCGAGTACGCTGTGTGGAGGGCGCTGCGTGGAGTGGCTCGACCGGAGTCAATCCACATCAACGCAGAAATATTGAAGGTTTACCACCAGGGCCTGGCCATGTGCCGAGTGAATCCCCAATTAGTTCCCAAGCCACCACGAAGCATTCAGAAAGTGACAGAGTATCATCGCTCGAAGTCAGCCATTGAATGACATTCCTCGCTAGCCCAAACTTTCTGACGAATTGGCCTCTTCCCAACGAAATAGCAATAAGTAACGTTAGTTATACTGAGTTGAGTCAGCACAGCTGCGCATGCTGTTCGTATTATCTGGCGAGGATTTGCTTCGGCTGTTTTTTGTAGAGCCAGCGGGGTACAGTCTCAACGAACGTGCGGAGTACCGTCGAGCAGGTCTCATGACCTGAGCTCATGCTCCTCGGCCTCCAGTAATACTAATAATAATGTAAGCCTGAAAATGTCGGAAGCAACGACGGGGTTACGTGCGCACTCGACTCGTGCCGTCGTGGGTACCCGTCTCCTCTCGACTCTAGCTCTGCGAATAATGTGCCTACATAGTGAGCATGCAGCTAGCTTAGCCTTCGCAGGCTTCGGCGAGCCGATGTCGATGAGGGAAGGCTTGATTCATTCTCCTCAAATAATGCAAACGACGTTACGTCGACTCGATCCACTCACGAGCCCACCTGCCTGCCATGGCATGGGACCATACTCCATAGCCTAGAATAGGCTAGATATAGACGGACCATGCTTGAGAAACGTGACTCGACTGCATGCCGCGTACGTGAAGCTGTTTGGCCAGCATGCAGAGTCTATGTGGTGCGGACCGTCACCGAGTGCGACCTGCTGCCTGTGCGACAACTGATATCGACGTGTGAACTGAGTGTACTGATTATGCGTTACAGTCATAATCCATTTGCCGAACTGCCGACAAGAGTACAATTGAATCATCTTATTCTTCCCACCACACAGCAACAGCGGGACACACTGGAGAGAATTCAACGCCGTGCTATATACGCGTCTGCCGTCGGATTCCCCTCTTTGCACCAGTTCACCACAGTTCCCTCCTCCATCATGCAAAGCTCCCCATCCTTAGCTTACGACTCCTTGTTAAAGGGGCACTCCGGCTTCATTTTCGACGCCGAGTTTTCGATGCCAAGACGAAGGTAGGTGAAAGAGAAGACACCTCGAACAAGAACGAGTCTCCAGAAGCGATCGAGTCGAGCAGGAAGACGACTTTTGAATTTCGGCCGAGCGAGCGCTGATGACGTAATGAGGGATTAGCTTGCCAGTGGAAATGCATCTGCGCACATACATTTCACACACTTTTTGGCCAATTTTCAATCGAAGAAGAGGTTGTTTGCTATGTTCTCCCAACGCCGTGAGCGATCCCGTCTTCTATACCCTTCCAGGTACCCTGAAGGTCCTCCAGAGGAGAATTTATCTCCATCAAAGCGTTGTTGATCCGCTAAATTCGTCTCGAGACATATTCACCCAGTGCAGTGCTGATAAATGTAGAAGTTGAATCTGTGATAATTGTCGACGATGGAGAGAGAGGCTGATAGCCGCTGTCGCAGGGAGAGTGAAGCTGCTGGAAGTAACAACAGGGAGCCCGTTTGTATCACCTGAACAACCAGACTTCAAAGCAGCTTGACCAAATCGGAGGGTGCCTCGTTGCTTATCGTGAATATTACACCGACATGAATTACTACAAGTATACTGGTGAGTTTTTATCTTGTTTTGTTCGTATGCTAGTACCCTGGCCTGGAGTTCTCGTTAGCAAATTCCTATTCCCTGGCGTTTTCTAAACATTCCGTGTAGGACTGAATACGTGATCAAGTATTCCGATTTGGGTAAATGTGGAATTTGGACATGTATTTTATTAAAAAAATTCTTTTCCAAATAGAGCGTTTGTAGAGAAATGGTTGCCCAAATACAACAAAATTTATTCTGCAGTTCTACAACTAACTTGTACTGAAATCCAGTCGAAGTAAAAATGATTCTTCATGACAGTTGGGGTCAATGAAATCTGATCCAGGCATAACGAATGGTGACGCCTGCCACCCCGGGAACGAATGCCTATTTGGTGGGGGATACCAAAGTACTCGAAAGTAGTGCGTGTTTCGATGTGGCATGGAAGTTTTATATGATCTCTGGTCAATGCAACATACAATAGCCATCATGAATTGCAGGCCTCGAACGCAACTCCGACCAGAATTGGCAGTTCCCTAAGTTAGATGCTTCATAATTCCATGGCCCCAGCTGTAGTTATAGAGGGTTTTTTGCACATTATTCTTATAGTCGATAGGTTTATACTGATGGCCACAAACAACGGCAGTTCAAACTTCACTGATGTGTTCATGAGCTGAGAGATTTCTCTGCACTATTTCTGTTGTGCACACAGGTTTGGCCAATATGCATTGACCGTATTGGGTATGTTACCTGCTCTGAGAAGGGAATCGCTGGAGCCACAGTCCAACTATACAGGCTTTCAAGAAACAGAGAGGAGCCATCTTTGCAAGCTGATACCTGATGTATACCGACAGAATTCTCACGAGATACCTTACAGACTACGCCTGGTGTATACTTCATAGTACTCCTTCGACTACTGTCTAGAATCAAGTCGACTGAAGCAAGTTCAAACAACTCTGGCTTCAAACGAGCCGTCGATTAGACAAACAAAACATTCTCTCATATACTAGAGCACTCTGACAACTCACGACCTATTCCTAACGATTGCCACCGCTTATAAATATGTAGAGTACTGATTGGAATGTGCTCACAATCTCAACAATCCAGTGCTATAATTATTTGAACTATGTGTTCCTTCCATAAATGTTGTATCCACATATAATCCACAGTGCTGCAAAGTTTCAGAGTTCTCAGGGTATCAAACAAAATTATTTCAAATACAGTGAAAGAGTTCGTGGACATTATAGCGTAACTTGTAGTTCCCTGGTCCTTTTCTTTGCTATAAATTAATCCTTTGCTCTCTAGCCACCGGCGAGTCCAACAGTGAAATTGTTAGTTCATATTTATGTGGGTATGGGGGGGGGGGGGGGTGAACATATTTCTATATAAGGGACCTGCAACTGTAATACCACAGTACAGTAGATAGCAAATATGTAGAAAACAGAAATGCATGTTCCCATCATTGTACATGGACGGGCGCAGCAGGCCGAAGCTATCAGCCAGAACAGGATTTACAATCGCCTAGAGATACTTGAGCTATTCCAGTATTCTCCGTGAGCTGTCCCATTCCACAATGGTTCATGCCACCATTATTTCTGGTAGTATCCATGTGCATAATTCCAAGAACATCTCGGATTCTTCAACAACTTGTGCCACGGCAAAAGACAACGCTTGACTCGGTCACTGGGGCTGTCAAACTTCACATCACAAATGAACTTCAATTTCTCATCTGGTTCAAGTATATGTACTGCCATGACTTGACCATGCTTCATCCACAGCTGGGCGAAGATTGTGGCGTTGAATTCCATAGCGCACCTTCTTGCTGCCATGCAGGAATATGTTGAGAGAAGTGAACATATTTTTACTAAAAAAACAACAGCCACTGAAGAGGATAGCATTAGCAATAGCCTTGGGTGAATTTCCTGCAGGTACACGTTGTTGGTAGGTCTACTGGTCGGTCTCCGTATCGTCAAGTTCAGAAATCACCTGTACTACACATCTTGTAGAAGGGATCCTGATCGAAAAATTTTCTGATTTATAAAATTCACTAAACTGAGGGCGAGACAAATAGTCAGTACTCCCCGATTCCGTCTAGCTGCTTTGATCAAGTGATGCTAACAAGCTCCCCGTTGTTACTTCCAGCAGCTTCACTTTCCCTGCGACAGCGCTATCAACCTTTCTGTCCATCGTCGACAATTATCACAGATTCAACATTCCACATTTGTCAGCACTGCACTGGGTGAATATGTCTCGAGACGAATTTAGCGGATCAACAACGCTTTGATGGAGATAAATTCTCCTCTGGAGGACCTTCAGGGTACCTGGAAGGGTATAGAAGACGGGATTGCTCACGACGTTGAGAGAACATAGAAAACAACCTCCTCTTCGATTGAAAATTGGCCAAAAAGTATGTGAAATGTATGTGCGCAGATGCATTTCCACTGGCAAGCTAATCCCTCATTACGTCATCAGCGCTCGCTCGGCCGAAATTCAAAAGTCGTCTTCCTGCTCGACTCGATCGCTTCTGGAGACTCGTTCTTGTTCGAGGGGTCTTCTCTTTCACCAACCTTCGTCTTGGCATCGAAAACTCGGCGTCGAAAATGAAGCCGGAGTGCCCCTTTAAACAAGTCCTACTAGCATGGGACATCCACCACCCAACCTCCCCACCACACCTGCAAACAACCACATCTTGCACCACAACGTCAACACCAACCATACGCCCTTCGACAGACAAGGACCTACTCCATCGGACACGCACACACAAACAGGCACCGAGATTCCCCCGTCAACAGTGCCCTCACCCTCTACAACTCACTCCCTATCGACATCACAGCCCAACCTCGTAGAAATTCTTTCCGAAACAATGCATCCAGTCTTCTTTTGAGCAGTACCTGTTCCTGCCCCGCGCATCCCCCTGGTTTCTGATATCTCGAACGTGTACTTAAAGGGGAAGTCCGGTGAAAAATTTAAATTTCACAGTCCGTAGAGTTCGGGTCGCTGAGTCGAATGGTCTTTGTCCGAGGAGGCTGCGGCTTATGGTTCGTCAGATACGCCCAATCGAACATGTGCGAATTTGAGCGCGCATCACCCAGATCCAGGTGATGACGTCACAGCGTGCAGCC